GCTGGGATGCTGGGAATGTCTCCGTGGCCCTCCTAGCCACCATCCCCATGCGGTTCCCACATTGAAAACCAATTAGGCTACCACTAGTTCGGTTGAGCTTTAAATGAATGTCTGTGCAGCTGTGCCCATAACGTTTCTCTTGTTCCACATTTTCATCTCCCCTTCTCCACTTCAGCAACATCTCTACCACCAACCTCACGTGCCCACCTGACAACTCTACCTGTGGCATAAAACAATTTCGTAGAACAACCTTTTGCCGCACTTGTGAATCCTTCTGCAATACTTGCACCAACCAATCTGCAGGTGAGTAAAGAAAAACCAGCCAAGTATGAATTTAGACTTGAACGCAACGAGATACTACGTGATGCATGGCGCCGTGCATTGGAGTTGATTGTTGTGCCAGAGATGTATGATTTTGACTGCATAGTAGCGCATGGGTATACCAAGTATACATGGCAACGTAGGAATGCACGGTAGCGCATGGGAATGCATGGTAGCGCATGGGAATGCATGGAAGCATATAGGAACGGACGGTGCCGCATGGCACAAGGCATGTTGAGAAAAAAACCGCTCTTTTGCTAACTCTGTTAGTGATCAGCTTGCAGCAATCCCCACTGTGTACATGGACTTATGCCCATGCATTTTGCAGAAACCAGCAGAGGCAGCAGCAGCACTAACAGAAGCATCAGCAGCACCAACAGTAGCATCAGCAGCACCAGTAGTAGCAGCAGCATCAGCGAGTCTTCTTCAGCAGGAGGTGGAGGTGGAGTGTCAGTGGGAGTCATCATTGGCATCGTTGTTGCTGCTGTGGTCATTCTCCTGCTTCTGGGCGCCACTCTGCTTTACGTCCGGCAAAAGAAGAGTATGCTCTTATCAACCAGACTCTGTTGATGCAGTTGTGTGTTGCTGTTTGCAACATTCCGTTCGGTGGGGAACAAGGATTTTACTGCATGATCTTTGACATGATCATGCACGTCTGCAAGTGTAGTCTTGCTTGACTCAACCAGAGATGGGATGATATCGACCAATTTCTGGCCTTTAGATGAGTGGAATTGACTTGGCACACGCATTTAATTCGGTCACAAGCTTACAGCTAGCATGCCTTCTTGACTTGTGGATGTACCCGGTCCCTAGTGGACGTAAACCTGGGCTACACCGTTCCGAAACTTCGGTTCGGTGCGACAAGGTGTTGAGGCAATAGGTGGTTAAAAAAAATCATTTTCTAGAACTGCAGATACTCAGGGGCACCCAGAGCTTGGCTCCGTGAAGTCGTCAGTTTCATGATTCTGATCAACTAGCCGCAAAGCAACCTTGATTTTAAAAGCAAGTTGGGGCAAGTCACAGGTCGAACCTGACTCCACTGGACTCAAGACGACTCAAAACTACTCACCAACTTGTGCTCAAGCCTGTTTCCCTGCACCTGTCTGCCCTTCTTTCACCCCTGGCACCATGAGCAGGCGCGGGTGGCAGCCTGGCAGCCTCGCTGTGCACAGAGTTCTCAATAGAAGAGGTCGTGGAGGCCACCAATGACTGGTCCCCTGACCACCAGCTTGTCTTATGTGGTTCCTCTCACCCCCTGACGCCTGAGCAGGCACTGGCAGCAGCTTGGCAGCCTCGCTGTGCACTGAGTTCTCAATAGAAGAGGTCATCAAGGCCACCAATAATTGGTCGAAGGACAACCAGCTGGGCTCGGGTGCCTTTGGCGATGTGTACAAGGGCGTGTCTCCCAGAGATGGCACCACCATGTGGGCTGTAAAGCGAGCCAGGCTGATCGACGTGGACTTCCAGAGAGAGGTTAGTGAGGCGCAGACTCGGAGGTCAGTGATCCGTAGTGAGCCATAATAACTGTGAGGCTTCTTGGTTATGCAGTCGCAGGAGACATGAGGTCACGGCTAGAGCAAGTTCTCATCTATGAATAAGTCCGTGCCCAATGGCGACCTTTGCGAATGGATTGATCCATGTAAGTGTGCCACTCCAGTTTGATCTGTGTTCGGGTGTTGCAGGTGTTGTAATGTGCCTTTCATGTTCTGTGCCACTCATATTTTGTGTTGCTCCTGTTGTACCACTCATGCTATGCCACTCAAGCTATGCCACGCATATGCTGTGCCACTCATATGCTGCGCCACTCATGCTGTGCCACTCCACTCATATGCCATCCGCTCATATTCTGGGCATCTTTGTACTGGCAGTGGGCCCTCTGACTCTGAAGCAGCTTGCCCCTCGTATGCTGTGTCACACATATTCTGTACCACGCATCCTTCTGCCATTCAATTGCCATTCATTTGCCCTCTGATGTAGCCTGCCCTCTGCCACTCATCCTCTGCCATTCATTTGCTGTGCCACTCATGCTGCCACTTATTCCTTGCAGTTGCAGAGGCAGAACGCCCTCTGACTCTAAAGCAGCGGCTGGACATTCTCATTGGCATTGCACGGGTCATCGAGTACCTCCACAGCTTTGGCATCGTGCATCGCGACATCAATCCTGGCAACATCCTCATCAATGACGACATGCAGGCAAGTTTTGTTGCGGTAGATCGTTTTGCTGTCACAATGATGTTCTTGGTGGAGGCAATGCTGTTTACGAATTTTGGATAAAGTAGCTGATGATAACATGACCAAATTCTGAGCGGCACGGCAAAGTAGACAGTAGCAAAAGCCAAACTCAAGCGTGTTTGCCTTGAACCCAGCAAAAGACTTACCTTAGGCGAACTGAACGCAGACGGATTTGGTCTGCCAGAACTCCCCTTTTTTTTTCAAAACGAATAAAGTGTTCACGTGTTCGAGGTTGCAAGTAGGCATGAGGAAGAGTTGAAGAAAACTTGTTCGTATTCGCCTAGGGTAAAAAATGTCACCTGGGCGAACCAAACACCTCTGGTTAGGCATGGGCAAAAGGGGACGGGTCGGTTTGCCGACCCGACCCAACTCTTTTGTTGGGTTGAGATTGACTACCCGCGCGGGTCGAGTAGTGCATACTCGCGCGGGTACTGTCAACGGGAGTTGTGTGTTGGCCCCATCCTCGCTTGGGCGGAGCCGACTTCGTGGTCGGGTGTAGGGGTGCAGCCGACCTGCAGCAGTGGGCGAGCTGGTCGACGAGGAAGTCGACCTGCACGGGTGCCACTGCATGGGCGACGACTTCAGGATAACGCCGACTTCAGGGAGGTCGACCTGGGAAGTCGACCTGCGGAGGGCGTCGACTTGGTGACGCCAACTTGGGGCAGCCCACTTGGGTAGTCGGCTGATAGAACTGCTGGTCGACTTGGTTGGTCGACCAGGCCTGCTGGTCGACTTGGTGGTTGGTCGACCAGGCGTGATGTCGACCTGGTGGTCGACCGAACATGGTGGTCGACGAAGGAGGGGCCGACGTCGACCTTGACAGAGGGATTCAGGACGCCGGGCTGCGGGCGTCGAAGTAGCCGACTTCGGGTAGCCGACTTTGGGGTCGGCTGACAACTGTGCTGGTCGACGAGGAGCTGGTCGACCAGGAGTGACGTCGACCTGGAGCTGGTCGACCTGGGGTAGTGGTCGACCTGGTGAGGTCGACTGGAGGTGGCCGTCGACTTGGGTGGTCGACGGGGACACACGGGAGCAGCTGGTCGACGTGGTTGCCCGGTCGACCAGGTTACCTGGGTGACGAGGTTCTGCGGAGGCACGCGATGGTCGCCAAGGTGACGTTGGCGAGGACGACCTTGGTGGTGGTATCCTGAGGTCGACGTGGCTGATCAGAAGCAGTCGTCAGCACGAAGTTGACTTGGTGTGTGCGCTGTGCAGGTGACGAGGCACTGCACGCCAATCATCTGCGAGCACCTGCGAAGCAGGTGCGCTGCTGTCCTGCGGGAGCAACGTTGGCACGCCGTCAACCTGCGACGTTGGCACGCCGTCGGCATGCAGCATTGGCAAGCCGCGACTCTGCACTGCTGGAGCGCGGTCGACCAAGTCGTGCTGGCGCGCGGTCGACCGTGCTGCGCTGGCAGTCGAACTGCTTGCATCGTAGCTCTGATGTAGTGTAGCCTTGGCAATTTCATTGTACCATTGTTGTCAACCTTTCTTAGTGAAACTCTTGCCAAATTACCCCGTGAACTAGCAAGCAGTATGTGCACTAGGAAAACGACTAAGGAACAACGAACGCAGAGATCACACGAGCACCCGTGCCTAGCCCGTAGTCTAGCTCCCGTTGTAGTAGTTATCTCCGCAGGTACGAGTTATCCGGTACTCGACCCGGGTGTCCGAATCGAGTATTTGAATACCCATCGGGTCGAGTCGAGGTTACCTGGCCCGACCTCTAGTATTTGAATACCCATCGGGTCGAGTCGAGTTTACCTTGCCCGACCTCGAGTTTTGTTGAAAATTCCCAACTTACGAAATTTGGAAAGTTTTGCAACCTCAAATCCTCAAGTTACGAACTTTTCGAATTTCGTAACCCCATATCCCCAAAATATGAAATTCGCAAATCACCCCACTTCCAATCCTCCGATTTACGAATTGGCAAATTCTGCTTCCCCTCACCCCCAAATTACGAATATTGCGAATGCCTCCCCAAACTCCCAACGCATGAGACTCAGCGCTATCCCCTTGCAAACCGTTCTCGACAAACTAAATCTCACCTACGCACCAACCTAGAATACTAACTCTGACCCTAAAATTACCTCACAGATGCCATTAAAACAGTCCTAAACAAACATCTTCTTGCCTTAAATAAATGCAACTATCAAAAGGGTATTCGGGTATATCTGACCCGACCTCGGGTATACCCGACTCGACTGCGGGTCAGAGATACCCGAGAGGTACTGGGCGGGTTGGGTCAACATCCTTGGCCCAATTACCCGCGGTCGGGTATACCCGACCCAACCCACACACGACCTCGGGTTGGCCTACACAGGACGGGTTGGGTCGGGTTGGGTCGGGTCGGGTCGGGCTAACGCCCATGCCTACCTTTGGTTCACCCCGAACACTTTCAAGAGAAGTGGCGTTTGTCTGTTCGACTTTGAGGCCAAACACCTTCTATGTTCGCTCTGAGCACAAACATGTCAGAAATGAGCATGTTCTTGTCCTAGACTTCTCAACAGCCGTGAACTATTTCGAAATGGGCGAAATAAGCTACTAGTTATATTATGGTTTGGGCGGCTTTTTCAGCAAGCTGAGATGCTATGGTGTGTGAATTTTAGGTTTCTCTCTTGTTTCCTCCCTAAAACGTCTTGAACACAAGGCGAACACGAACATGTTCGCCGCGGCTCAGCTAACCTTCACAGAATGAGCACGAACATGTTCGCCCGAAACACGTTGGAGAAAAAAAAAGTTTGAGGCGAACAGAACAGGTGTTGGCCCTTCTGCTCATGTCATGTTACAGGGGAGATTCTTTAGGGTTTGCCATGCCCTTAAGTGTTTGCCTTGAAATCACGCTAGTTTGAGTTCGAGGCATCATTTGAGGATCTGATTAATTACAGGGTATGGATGTGCGACACATGTTACCATTATTTGTGGATCTTACCATGCAATTTATGCAAAGTTGATCAACAGTCTGCACGGCACATCGCGCAACAATCAAGGTACTGTTGTTATATTGACTAAGTCCTTCATCATCTCTCTCTCTCTACAAACTCGGACCTGCGGTTAAGGGCTGGTCTTGTACCAAGCGCTCGAGAACCCTCGAAGGTGGCGCCAAAGTAAGGATTTGATTTGGAATTGCATCTTAATTTACTGAGTTAGTTAGTCCCTTCATCAATAGAACGGGGGTGTGTTCGCCCTCGATGCTTTCTTACTAAAATCACAGTGCTAAATACGTATCATGTCCCGGTCAAGCTATTTGATGTGGTATGCATTCAACTATCCCTTCATGGGGGTGAACTCAATATCTCGTTTTTTACTGCAACCATATATTCAGTTGTGGAAAGTAACACACAAACTGTGGTTTTGTGTCAAGCCATGTTCTGTTGTGGATAGTAATGCACGCAATTATTTGTCATGTTTTTTTTTTCATCCCTCATGCTACAATAACTCTCATTTATAATGCCAGGCAAAAATTGCAGACTTTGGGCTGGTGAGGATGGGGGGGGCACTTCCGTAAGCACGACGCGTGTCATGGGCACACCGGGCTATGTGGATCCAGCCTACTTCAGCACACGCAAGGCCACCACTGCCAGTGATGTGTACAGGTGAGGCTGGAGACCCTGAGAAAGCATTTCATAAAACCTTAAATACCATCGTACGAGTCCCTTATATTGCATTGCAAGAAACCCTTAGAAGTAATTGCAGGACGCCCTTAGAAAATTTGCATAAGTCCCTAACAAAACATTTCACGGGGCCCTAAATTTGCAATAGACACTTGAAAAGCATTGCTAGAGTTGTGGAAAGCAGTGCAAGAAATCCTTAGAAAGCATGTTGGAGACCCTTACAAGACATTGCAGGAGACCAGAGAAAAATCATTACAGGGGGCCCTTGGAAAGCCTTGCAAGAGACCCTTAGACAGATTGCCAGAGCCCCTTAGAAATCGCTGCATTGGATCCTTAGAAAGCATTGCAGGATTCCTTTGAAAGCATTGCAGGAGATTGTTAGAAAAGCATAATAAATATCCCCAAGAAAGCATTGTAGGAGACACTACACTTTGCAGGAATTCCGTAGAAAGCATTGCAGATGTCCTTTGAAAGCATTGCAGGAGATTGCTAGAAAAGCATAACAAATTTCCCCAAGAAAGCATTGCAAGATTCCTTATCACTGTAGTAGATCCTAGAAAACATTGTAGGAGAAAATTAGAAAGCTTTGCAATGGCCGCTCTGAAAGCCTTACAGCAATACCTTTCAAAGCTCTGCTGGAGTCCCTTTAGAAAGCATTGCAAGCAACCCTTAGAAAGCATCGCAGATACTTTGAAAGCATTCCAAGAGCCCCTCATAATCTCAGGAGACCCTTAAAAAGCATTGCGGTAGATCGTAAGAAATCATTGCAGGAGTCTCTTGCAAAGCATTGCAGGAGTCCCTTTAAAACAAATGCAGGGGACCAGGGGACCATAGAAAGGTCCAATGGATTCTCGTAGAGAGCATTGCAGGAACATCTTATACATCATTGCAAGAGACCCTCGTGGAGTCCCTTTAAAAGCATTTGCAGGAGACCCTTAGAAAGCATAAGAGGCCCCTTCATGATCATTGCATGAGACCCTTGAAAAGCATTGCAGGAGACCCGTAGAAAGTATTGCAAAACGTTGCAGGAGAACCTTAGAAAGTATTGCAGGATTACTAAGAAAGCATTGCATGATTTCTAAGAAGACCCTTGGAACGCGTTGCACGAGCCCTTCAACAACAGGATATCCTGAAAATGCAATGGTTCTAAGCATTGCCCAACATCATGTGCCTTTGAACTCTTTTTTTCCAGCTTTGGAGTGCTTATACTGGTCGTGTTTACGGGACGCCCACCATTCGTAGAGGCTGATGAAGAGGGTCGGCTGATCACAAAATGGGTAAGCACCCTATCCATGAGACCAAGTTTCTGCTATGACGTTCTCTCAGTAGCATAAGGGAACATCCCTGTCCACTCCCTAGTGTTTGGTTGTGGTACATCTTATGCATGTCTGGTTTCGCTACGGTCTTTTCAGGGCTTGCGGATCACTCTGTCGGTAAGGGTACATTCGAGCAGTGATGCGACTATATTTTTCGTTGCTAAGATAGCATCTTCTACACTGTTCAGGAACTCTCAATTTTTCTTGGATGTTTTTTTTTTTTTTGTTTTTTTTTTTGTTTTTTTTTTTTGGAACTATTGCACTTCTACGCAATAACATTTATAGCCTCTTCTGAATAACATCAAAGGGGTATTTTGTACACACTTTGTAGGACTGGCTAACCCTTTTTGTTTGTGATTTTCCCTGCGTGTTCCGCTTTCGCAGGCGTCGGAATGCCATTCCGCGGGGGATTTGGCCAGCCTCAACCACCCCACCATGGACGCCCCTGCGGATGCAGTGCTGCGTGTGGCTCAACTCGCCCTCTCCTGCACTACGGAGCGCACTGCAACCCGCCCCAGCATGGCACACGTTGCCAACGAGCTGCAGGCCATCCGGGAGGAGTGGGTGGGGAAAGAGGAGCTGAGTGTGGCTGTCAAGGTGGATGCGCAGGTGCAGGAGAAGGAGGTTGTTGCCAGTGCGCTAAGCCTCGACGAACAACTTCAGATTCTTGATGACAAGTTGGTTGAAGGATAAGATATGTTGTAGCACTGACTAGCAGTTTCCATTTGACATCTGAGTGTGAATGTTGATAAACAGTACTAATACCAGGGCTGGCATTTCAAATATGACGACCCTGATTTCAGCCTCCCAACGCAACGGGAGTCTCAGCCTTCTAGTTGTTCTTGTGTTCACAAAAGAACAAACCTCTGAGCTGTCAGAGTTGGCTGATTAAATCCAGGGTTGCAAATTTCACCCCGGTTTGGTGAGAAAGACAAAGATGTGGGGAGGCAAATAGCAAGGAGGGAGGGAGGGGGAAACTTGGTTCGGGCGAGGTGAAGGGGTTGACTGGTTTGAGCTTTTTGCACAAGTGAAGTTGCTTTGGGTGGGATGTTTTTCGATATTAATTTGTATGTTAGTGTGTAACTAACTAAGCTTTTTTATGCTACCGTAGGAAAGTCGTTGTCGAGAGAGAAAAAATTTCACTAAAAAAATATCGAAGGTACAAGTACACTTGTTATGCCCTAAGCCCAACCTTAGACTAGCATATTCAAACTGACATATGTTGGAAACAATAAATTGTAAACGCCTCTGTCGTGTCGAAACACCACACCAGAAGCGAAGCACGCCATGTCGAAGCACCCGCGAGTCAACCCTCGGAGGTTAAAAGAGGTTGCTGGAGGTTACGCGAAAGTCAAAGGTCAAGCGACCTTTGACCTGACAAATACAGCGCGACAGTTAAGGACACACAGCTGACTCGTTACAGAGCAGTTGCCCGAGTCGTACTGTATCGAACCGCAACAGCAACAGTAAAGTAGTTACAAACTGCATCCTTTCATATTCCTTGTATTATTATATAATCTTGTACTTCCTTGCTATAATCAATCTACTTTGCCCTCACATACCAGCGCAAGGTGGTTCACAAACTTTTGTTAAACGCTTCCGCTATTACAACACTATCCATCCAGAGTTCTCCCTTGAAAGATCCTAAGGGGCTATCTCAGCCCAACATGGTATGAGAGCAAACAGGGGAAACTCTACTACCTTCAAATCATTACAAGACATGGCAACAAGCAAGGAAAGGAGCTCCTCTAACGGCTCCCCAGGCACTACTCCTACTCCACCTCCTGCCTCTGGCCTGCAGACAGAGGAAGGCACGGCAACAAGACCAAGAGTAACATCTACTGAAACTCCCGCAAATCACCCCGCGAACTTCGACCCGAGTATAATGGAGAAGTTCTTCTCCTTCATGTCCTTCTACGAGCAGCACCAGCAGTCGGGACCTGCACAATCACACAACAGCAACAACAACGGAGCAACACCCATGAGCCTTGACGGGTCGTCATATGCGCGCGGAAACCAACAGCAGCAACCTACCTTCGCCCCGTACGAGCGCGGGTCGATCAGCTTCATGCCGCAGCCTTCACCTGGACAAGATAAACCACTGGACGCGTTACAAGTGCAATCGCAGTTCGCGCACGTTCTGAAGCTGCAGACATCAAGGCCCTTCGACGGAAAGGACTTCTTCACCTGGTCATTCGAGTTTGAGTTAATGATGGAAGGCGCGCAGATACTCGGCTTCTTCGACGGGTCCCTGCAATATCCAGCAAACGGCACACAGTATGAGAAGCAGCAGTATACGTATCAATCGATGATGGCGTATACGATTCTACTGAGGAACGTCACACCAACTCAGCAGCAGAACATACGCTCTTACCGGGGTTACGGCAACTCCGCTGAGCTCGCGTACAGCCACCTGAAGAGCCTGTATCAAGCAACAGACAGCGTAAACCAAAGCAGGTTAATGGCGCAGTTGACAACAGTTGAAATGAAACCGGGAGAAAAGGGGATGGCGTATATCAGCCGATGTCGCGAACTGCGCGACAAGCTTCTTCGATGCGGAGGGTCAATCTCTGAAGACGCCTTCGTGACAGTCATCATTGGTGGTCTCGGTCCCCAATGGCGCGCCACCAAAGCTATCCTCCGAGCCCACGGCAGAATCTCTGAAGCAGCACTCTGCGCCGAAATCCACGCTGAGCAGCAGGACATGGACCTGCAAGAAGAACGACACAGAAAGAAGACGACAACATCAGAGTTCGCGTTTCACACTCAACGACGTCACAACAATTACAACAATCGACAACAACAACCGAAGCCAGTACCTCCTTTCTGCCACATCTGCAAGACTTCAGGACACCCGCGCACACACTGCCCGAATCGACAACCGTCAACGACTCCGCAGCGACAGCTACGACCTTCAAGCAATCAAGTCGCATCAACACAGCCGAATCCAACGACCCAGCTCCAATCTTCAACAACTCCAACGGGACAACCTGCACAAGGAGCAAGAAACATCGTTAGCTGCATGGCAAGACTGAACGATTCTTGCATCACAGAATCGCCACCGTACTACTCACCAGAAGAGCAATTCGACGAAACAACACCACGCCGCGAGTCACTTCAGCCGAACCCGACATACGCTGCCATAGCCCAAAACGAGCCATCCGGGAAGGACACGTGGTTCTTGGACAGTTGCTGCGGACAACACATGTGCTCCTCAGGACGCTTCGTACAACGAGAATACCAGCTTCAACGAGAGGTGGTCATCACCGTCGCCAACAATCAGAACCTGCGCACACGACGACAAGGAGTTGTTCAACTTCAGTCACGAGAAACGAACGTCATTCTACAGATGTCCAAGGTTTTAATTGCAGAAGGCCTCGGCTACAACTTACTCAGCGTCAGTCAACTGATGGCGAAAGGCATTCACCTTGAAGCAGACAGCACAACCCAGGAATTCAAGCTGTACCACGGGAGAGGAGGTCTCTACATCGGCAAGGCGGTTCTCAAGAACAACGTCTTCGTTCTTGACTTCGTCCCCGATCTCGGAACGGCCGACAGCGACGCCATCGTCAACTTCACTGACTGGACACATCCTCCAGATCTTGATCCAGACTTCAGCCCGAGCGGCTTCTGGTACTCACACACCATCCCTGAAACAGAAAGAACAAGGGCGCTGGCGACAATTCAGCAGTCGGCAGCAGCAGAGACAACATCGGCAGCAGCAGAGACAACATCGGCAACAGCAGAGACAACATCGGCAGCAGTAGAGACAACATTGGCAGCAGCAGAAACAACATCGACAGCAGCACAGACAACAGCAGCAGCAGCAGAAACATCAACACCAGTCGCCGGTCCCTCAACGGCACAGCCCTTCATCGACGAGACGCCGCCAACACCGGCGCAGCAGCTCAACCCGGCACCACGGGAAGTTCATAGAAGCGCGAACATCATCGCCGGCCTCTACTCCAACTCCGACATATACCGACGCTCGCCAGGACACCGCGCCAACGAAGAAACCTGGCACGCAAGAATGGGACACCCAAGCAACACAGTATTAAACAACACGATAAGAGCTGGAGTACTTGACAAGGATTCACTCTTACTGATCGACGGCAGAGAACTTCAGCGAGCTCGAGGAACGTGCTTCACCTGCCCCGAAGCCGACTTACCGCATCAGCCCTTCGTCTCGCATCACAACCCAAGCGCACCTGCATATGCACCACTCGAGAAAGTGTACAGCGACATCTTGTACAACCGCGAACCCGGACAAAACGCGTACAACTACACCATCACCTTCATCGACGCCGCTACACGTTACGTCTGGCACCTAAACTTACCAAGTCGCGACATGGCTTTCGAGGCTTTCGTGGCATGGCTTCCAGCAGCAGAACGGGAATCGGGAGCTAAACTCAAAAGTTTTCAATCAGACGGAGGAGGAGAATACTCGTCACAGCGGTTCAAGCAGTATCTGGCGGAGAAGGGAATCAAGAGACTCATCTCCCTTCCCTACGCCAGGGTGTAGCAGAAAGGATGAACAGGACTCTGCAGAACACCATGCGCAAACTGTTACGTGGCATGCGGCTACCCAACCACCAGTGGCCCGAAGCAATGGACCACGCCGTGATGCTGCACAACTTGCTTTCTTCGTCGTCACTCCCGAACAACACATCACCGCATCTGCTGTGGACAGGGAAACTGGGCAGCACAAAAATGTTACGAGTCTTCGGCTGCATGGTACAGTACCGACCCCCATCTGCACGAGCCGGCCGATTCTCCCAACGCGCACAGTGGGGACTACACCTGGGCATCGAAAAACATTACAACGCGTGGAAAATCTTCGACATCCACACCAAGGAAACAGTAGCAGCACGTGATGTCATTTTCTACGAACGGCTCACACTGCCAACGTATCTTGCCAACCTGGACGAAAATCGAGACCCCACAGGTGGCTTCCGTGGCGATCGAGCCTTCGCTTCGGCAGAAGACGAAGCTGACTGGGACGAGCAGAACGTGGAAGGAGCCTCGGAAGAAGCCGGACCTCTTCCCTACTGCTCAGTGGACGTACCGATGGACGAAGATAACCCTCGCGAAAGCGTCAACGCCGAAACCTACTACCACTTCGCCGACAACGGTTACGTTACACCTGCTGAAGTCAACACCAACGAAGCAGAACGCATAGGGCCCAACTTCGCACCTGATCCAGAAGCTGGAGACGAGGCAGTCTATCCCGAGGACACCACACTCCCCCGCTACACACAGAGTGGACTCCAGATACTCGGGCTCGTCACCGCAGTCCACGGCGCCGCCATTCCTAAAGAGCCTGCAACGATTCAGCAGGCTCTGGGGGGGGAACACAGGGAAAAATGGCGTGAAGCCATGGACAAGGAGCTGAAAGCGCTAGAAGAACGCAACACCTGGAAAATCGTTCCTATCGGCGTAGCACGAAACAAGACCATTCTCACCGGAAAATGGGTCTTCCGCGTGAAGACGAAAGCAGATGGCACCATCGACAAATTCAAAGCGCGCTGGGTCGTACGCGGCTTCGACCAAGAGCACGGTCGCGACTTCACCGAAACCTTTGCTCCGGTCAGCCGACACACCTCACTACGCATTCTCCTCGCGATCGCCGCCATGAAGAAGAAAAGGCTACGACAAATCGACGTCGCAAACGCCTTTCTCTACGCACCTGTTGA